ATATCATCTGATTCTATTTGAATAAAAACTTTAAAAAAAAAAAAAGGAATTTATTTTATTCTATTTGAATTAAAACTATGGAGTGATTACGTTGGATCTTAAGTTTATTTCCATTATTAGTTCTTCAGCAAAAAGTAATCAGCTTTTATCTTAAAACCTGAGTATTTAACATTTGAATACAGAAGATGAATTTTAGATATTACTAGATATTATATTTTTCTTTAACATTTTCAGTTGAATCTCAACCAAACTTGTTTTAAGGAGTGACTTATGTATTCCAGAAAGCACTTTTTCTTGTGCAAGATAAATGTTTTCTGTTCAGTGATAAATATTTAGCTGGTAATCATCATAAATTCCTCTGACAATTCATGATGTTAGTTTAACACTAAGTTTTGTTTAGTGAAGAATCATCGAAAGTGAAACATTACTAGTTTTTACCAATCATTTTTCTTTTATTTTTTTTTTATCTTTTATAAAGAATATACAAATTTTCCATGTTTTGAATGTTTTTTCTGTGTTGTTGATTATTTTACAAATTCTAATTAATAGAATATATTTCTTTTCTTTATTTTGAACTTGAATTTAAAAAGAAAATTATGAATTATTCTTGAGTGTTATTCATTTTGATAAACTTTGGTTATGTATTTACTTTGTAAATCAAACAAATTGTGATCAGGTATTACTCAATATTATACTCTCCATCATTTTTTCTTTGATTTGGATTTTTTTTATCCAAGGATTAATTATAAGTGAAAAAATGTCACATTTTATAAAACGGAACATTTCACAAATATGCTTTAATATCATTTACATCTTTCACCTCAATTTTTATAGATTTACTGACAAAAATAAAATATTTGATTGGCAAAAAAGTTGGTTCTGTCATTGTTAGGTGTCATCAGGAATGTTTAGTTATTCATTCAAAGTGTTTCACAATATATTGACAGCTGTTGCATGCATTTCTTTTTTTTTTTAAAAAAGAATTTGTCAAAATTATCATTTTTGTTCATTGATTATAATAATGAAGGCAGAAGAAACTAAGCAATATTTTCAACATTTTTTTAAATTCAAGAAAGGTAAAACTAACTCGATTTGTGAAGTTTTTAAGGAAGTTATTGTGGATGATTGAAAATGATGGTAAAAGTATTTCATGAAGCTGTGTTAGAAATGTCTCACTTAATGATACATTGTTGTTGGGAGCATCATTTGAATTTGATTGCAATCAAATGACTACATTTGAGAATAAGAGAATAATGACTTGCAAGATAGCTAACTTTTTTCTTTTTTTTTTTTTAAAATCATTTCACACCAAGCAAGGTGGGAATGCCACTAGTATGCAGTGGGTTACAGAGAATGAAAGTGAGAGAAATGACTGGGTATAGGGGTGGATTGAGTAAAGGACAAAAGCTGAACATGGTTCAAGAAGATAGAAAACGGCAATTGACATTGCATTTAAATTTTTGAAGATTGTATTTATCCAGGAAGCAAGTGGAAGGGAGTTCCACAGGCAGAAGTGCAAGAAAAACCGTTGGAGTAGAAGTGGCAGTTATATTTAACTATTTCAACAGTAAAAGGGTGGGACCTAGATGCCAATCTAGTAGCATGCTTAAATTCACATAGTCCAGGCACCAGAGGGAAAATCAAAGCAGTTGCCATGAAAATATTTGTAGAAAATACAAAGGAAAGCCATGTCACATTGGTGAGAAAACCTTGAGATGAGTAGCAGGAGCACCAAACCAGATATGGCAACAGTATTCAATGCATGGATGAATGGTAGATTTGTAAATTGTCCAAGATAGACTCAAGCTTTACTATTATCAAGAGCTTGATATACATATTCAGTGATAGCCATTAACAATCAGTGGTAAACCCAGCAAAATGGAAGCCATATTGTTTGTCAGAGAGTAGGTTGTGACAAGTAAGATGCTTAACCACTTCAGCATTGATTAAAGCCTCAAATACTTTGCCAGAAAGCAGTAGGAGACTAGAAGGGTGATAGAGGGGGTCAGAAAGTTCTTAAAAACAGTAACTACAGAGGAGGATTTCCAACAAGCTGGAAAGGACGACGCAGTGAGGCAATAGCTATAGAGTTTGGAGAGAACTGGAGCCAGCTCAGGAGTACATATCTTTAGGATGACAGCTGGGATCCCATCACTTCTGCTTACCCTAGAGTCTAATTTAGAAATGATGTCTCAGACCAGTGATGGGGTTATGTGCATATCACTCAGTAGAGCCTCAGTTCTAGTGGGGAAATCAGGTGTGGGTACTCCAAATGAGTCAAGTTTTGGAAGTGAATTTCCAAGCAAAGCATTCTACCTTATCTACTGTAGAGGTCAAGACTAGAAATTGATTGAATATAGGAGTGATTGAGGATTTGATATTGTTCAGCACACTCTTGCAGAACCACTAATAATCTCTAGAACCAAACTTGTCAGATGTTATATGTTGTTTCATTCTATCAGCAAACAGTAACTTCACTTCTTTGAGGACCTGCTTGCACTCATTATGAGCAGAGGCACAGTCATCTGTTGCAATCTGACATGTCACTCTGGTACAGCCAGAAGTGATTACTGTGGGCTATAGCAGTCAAGAATGAAGGTGAGAACCAAGGAGATGAATGCAATTTAATATTTGAATCCAGCACAACCAACCATTTACATTAGCATGATTAGCTTACCTACTTTGAAGTAAGAAAAATGTTTTTTGTTTATTTCTTAATTGTAAATAATGATTAGCTTACATAAATTGTAAGTAATTGTAGGTCAAGTGAAGTGGTTATGCATATCATTCAACTGGAAGGAAGTCTAGTATGAGATCCTTTCATAAAATCACTTAGACCAATTGAAGGCAGTTAATTGATGGAAGACATTTGGAATTAAGAAATATATAGTGTATGTCTCTCCCCCAATAATGCCGAGATAGACTTTGCATTGAATATCATGCCATACTATCATGGGATGGTAGGGACCAGCTCTATCTGACTTGTAAGTGTGGGCATGAGCCACATGGCATATATATAAACATCTACACCAGTGACGAGTGAGCAATCTCTCTCGTATTGCAGATGAGAATGTAGGGTTTATGTTTTGCACATACAATCTAACTGAGCAATTAATAAAACGGGTGTTGAATAAAATGTAGTATTAAATATAAGATTAAGGCTTATGTTTACATTAGTTGACAAAGTGAAGTCTTTGCAGAAATATGTATTTCATCACGCTACCAATAGACTAAACTTCCTAGGTGACCAGGTAAAAATTGTTTCAGCTCTGTTTGGAACTCTTTTTTTTTTTTTTTTTTTTTATTACTATTTATCCCAATCTTTTTAAAAAATAGTTGTGTGTGCATATATATATATATATATATATATATATATATATGACCTTGACTAATCCATTCATGTGACCTCCAAAGCTTGATTTCTCATATCTATAAGTGATTATTGTCATTAATGTTATATACAAAATATGCTTTCATAATTGTTTCAATTACAATAGCCAGCTGCTGTCACTTAGATATTGTAACTTCAGTAAAGTTTAGAGGGAATTTGTGTACATATACAATTATGACAAGTAAGATATGAAAAGTAAAAAAGAGAAACCTAGTTCCCAGCATTCTTTTTTCCTTTTGTGATCATAATATTACTAACCAGTTATTTTCACATTAATTATGGAGTACAAGAAGAATTCTTGCTCTGCATAGATACACATAGTTTTATTTACCTATTATTTTTTTCTATTTTCATGCTCCCCTCCCTACTGGTTACTAATAAAAAGTAGCAAAAGGTACAGACATTATTTCATTGGTTATGTGGACTAATATCATTTTATATATATATATATATATATATATATATATATATATATATATATAACTTTAGCTATTACAAGTACATTTTCATTGTTAAAAAAAAAAGTCAGTTTCTTTTAATTGTATGATAAATGCTTTAAGTAGTTTTGAAATTATTAAATTTATGCCATGGAAAAAATTAAGGTGGGGAAATGTAGGCATTTATATACTAGGTGGGGGTACTCCGAATGAGTCGAGTGTTGAGTTAGAAGAGAACTGCTTGTGTTCATTTAAATAAAGCTAAAACTAGTGAATGTTATTTGGTATTAAATGACCTATATAGATATAAATGTAAATCCATTAATAATTCATTCAGATGTTTTAAAGTATGTCGGACAAGAATATATTTTTCTTTCTTCTATCAATATTCAAATGCAGCATTTCACTGATGTTATTTCATAAATATTTGTAACCACAAAAGAAAATTGTAGCTGGTGCTTTTTGCTTGTTTAATTATCTATTTATATTGTTTGACTTTAGACAGGTTATTTTTATTTAATAAATCTGGCATTCTTTTTATGTCAGCATTCAAAGAATTATCATGTTAGTTTTAATAAGATGTAAACATGTTAAAATTTCAGTTCCTCCTTAGCAAATATGTCAAAGCAATGTCCTGCTTGATTAATACTCAATAAATGTCCATTTCAGAATTCCATGTAGAGAATTTAAGAGAAAACTATAGACCACCATGGAAAAGAGAATTTCTCTTATAAAATATACAAAGATGAATATAAATGCAGATGTGATATTTTGGAAGATAAGCTTATTAAAATGACCAAATATTAAACAAGGTCAGAATATAATTATCATAATCAATATTTAATTATTTTTCAAGAGTAACTCATTGCAAAATACAAGTGTTAAAAATTGTGTTCATTTTGCACTTGGGAAAGGCACAAACTCATTTCTAAATTCCATCTTGTGCTACTTCTCTTTCAAGCAAAAATATTGTTTGCAGCAATTCATTTGACAAATTTCTGACCATATTGAAAGTGTGAAATTTACTTGAACTAACTGAAATCTTGTTTATATATTTATTTTTGGTTATATAAAGTTGAACCTTATTGATATTTTTTTTTTTTTTTTTTTCTTGTTTGTAACAAACCATGTGGTCAAATGATTTTACAGTTTTAATTTCTTTCTCTCTTTAGGAAGTGAAATAGCATTATGTATGAGTTTTGGCTGATTTCAGCTCCAGGTGAAAAAACCTGTGCACAAACTTGGGAGAGTCTAAACAACCTAACAGCTAAGCAAAATAATCTGTCTACCAACTACAAATTCCAAATTCCTGATTTAAAGGTAATTTTTGTTATCTAACATCAATGTTCATATTTTCATTTTATTATATTTGAACTATTTTGCATTTATATCAACAGAACATACCACTATGTGCTTAAAAAGCCATTAATATTTTGAAATTTTTTTTTTTCACTCAATGCAAGGCCAAAGAGCCTCTTGAGTTATTGAATACGGTTGTTGTATGTGTGTAGGCCCAAGAGCCTCGAGTTATTGAATTAGGTTGTTGTATGAGTGTAGGGTATTTTATAAGAATATGTAGGAACAATAGCAGTTAACCCTAGACTTGAAAATGTTAAGATTGTAGTGAACAGGAAAACATCCTCTTGGGAATCTCTTCCGCAAAGAAGTGGTTCTTGAGAAGAAGCTGTCTGGGTGGGACCTTCTCCTTATGAATGGAATACAAAGGGGATCGAGTGTGCGTGGCATGGCAGGAATTAAGGAATGTAGCTCATAAGAACATTTGCTATGGTAAGAGTTAGCGTTGCAAGAGGCTTGTGACATTTCATCTGTAGGGAAAGGGTTGTAGGTTAGAAAATAATTCATCACCCACAAGGTCGCATAGATGCTTTTGAACTCCATCAAGACTGAAAAGTAAGAACTGTGCAGCTGCAGCCCAGATATGACATCAGTACTTAACATTTGGTCTGATCTGGCTCTTGTAAAGATAGAGCATAGCAGCGGGAGTCAGATACTTACTGGAGCACTACAGGCAAACAACCTCCAGCATGTTTGACAATGGATACATACCAGTTCCAATTGAGGTTTGAAGTGAACTTGTCTCAATAGGTGTTCAAGGCAAGAAACCTCTTTGAGAACAATCATTCTGGGTAAAAATTTGGAGTCTACTTGGTGATGATGTTTAGAAAAGCCCACAAGTTCAATGCAGGCCATTAACAACAACCTTCATGAGCCTACCTGTTAAAGAGTTGATAATTGAACAAAATTCTTCCAGAAATTCCATAGCTGGAGAGTTTATATAGCAACTCCTTATGCCATGCAAAAAGACCTTTGCTATATCTAAGGCAGTTGTGCTTGTGATGAACTGTCTAGTGCTTCACTTATTCTTTATGCAATGACAGAACATCAGCACTGGATCTAGTGATGTGATATCCATACTGTTTGTTGCTCAGAATTTGTTCCTTCTTGTTGATCATAGACTCAAAGAGTTTGCTGATGATATTAAGGAGGCTAATGGGTTAATATTGTGATGTGGATGAGTGCTCACCTGCATTCTTGAAAACAGGGTATACAACTGACACCTTGGGAAGCATTTTTTCTTCAGGCAGCAGTTAAACAATTTTACTAAGATTGGAGATAACTCTAGGCTAATGGCCTTAAGAACAACTGGTAGCCTTTTTAGATAATTCTGGAAACTTCCTGTACTATGATAGATATTACAAAATTTGTGTTCTGTGAAAGAGGGGATATCAGATAGAGAGTGACCATTATTGTCTAATGTAGAATTAGAGGCAAAGTTCATTGCAAAGGGCTTTGCCTTATCTGATGTGGATGAAGTAACCTTGGGGCCATTTACAATAGTAGTCACTGATACTTTGCTTCTATTGAGAATTTTGTTTGATATTTTTCAGAACTTATGGGAACCAAGCCTTTTGTCTTCAACCTTGGCTTGGACTGAATGTGCATAGCTGATCTTTGCATTTTCTAGAACTCTCTTGCAATGATTGTGAGAAATTCTAAATGCATCAAGTGTCTTGCTACACTGTTCTCTGTGATAGAGATGGTAGTAGTGGTTATAGTGAGTTATGGCTGCAATACATTTTGGTCTGAAACAAGGCTGGCTATTCAGTTTTTTGTTGGTAGTCCTCATAATATGCTTGTTATGATAACTAGTGACTAACAATTGTTTGTGTACTCATTCTTAGAATTTGACTTCCAAATCCTGATGGAACATAACTTATAAATCTTTTTACAATTTGATTATTTTCTCTAAAAGTTATGTTCTTTTAGAATCCAAATCATAAAACATCAAAATCGGAAAAAACATGCTTACTCTGATCTCTCCTTTGGAATTGTCTACAGCTGCTTTCATTACAGTTGAAACAGTCTTGTCAATGGGTTGTATTTAAAATATTCTTTGTGTTACAATTTCTTTAACCCTAACATTCTACACAGCAACATTTTAAGATCCTCTGTATATAGCATATTTGTAAATGTCTGTAGTAATGAATCTATCAGCAGAAAATTGAAATACTCATATCCATAGAGATATACAAAATGCATTTCTTTGTCTGCTCTGTAGTTTTGTGAATGATAATGGTTTAAATGCTTTTTTTTTTTTTTTTTTTTTTTTAAAGTATTGCATTTGTTGGGTATCTTAGGCCAGCTTTTAATAGTTGAAAAACTTGGATATTTTAAAATCTTTTTTTAAAACTGATTAAAAAGAATTTCTTAAAAAAAAAACTCCTATTATAATTCAATAGGAGTTGATGCACCATAAAATCACATAAAATCTTTATCATTATATTGGTAATTTTATTTTTAAAATATCAAATGAGAACAGAGATGTTTTTATTAGCTTCTTTCTAAAATTTCACATTCATTTAAAATGTTTGCTTAAAAAATTGCTTTGATAAAAGTTCTATGTTCAAGTATTTAACATTTAAAAAGAAAGCAGTTGGTTTAAGTCAGGTTTTACCTTTATTTAAAGAGGCATAAGACAAAGATGGGTCTTCTCTCCAGATCCTTTATTGAGTTTGTTCAGCTAAAATCCTGATGCATCATGAAAAGTAATCTTAGACCATCTTGTATATATCTTTTTGTTCATTAGAGTCTTTGAATAAATTTATGTTAACTTCAATAAAAAGTAGATTTGTGTATGCCATATCTTAAGGTGAGTAATAGTTGCAGCATTTTAAGTCACACTTGTTTTTAGGTGACCACAATTCAAAAGTAAAACTAATCATTTATATTTTGTCATAAAAATACATTGATTTGAGTATTTTTCTTTGTTTAGGTTGGAACTTTGGATGTTTTGGTTGGACTTTCAGATGACCTTGGTAAACTGGATGATTATGTGGAGCGGTAAGAATCTTAGTGTTTAAGACAATTTTAAAATGAAAATATGCTTTTCAATTAACATGTTGAAACATTTTGTGTGACAGCTTTTATACAAATTTTGGCACTTTAATTTGTATTTTTCAGAAAGATATATTCTTTATTGATGATTACAAATTGTAATTTTTGCTTTAATTACAACCAGCCAGTTTTATTTCTAGAAGGAATCAAACATTTAGTCAAAGAAAAAAAAATAGGCCAGTTTCTACCTTCTTGTGCAACTTGGGAATGTGTTTCTTATTTTTTGTTACATGACCCAATGTATTCTGTTTCCTTGTGTGAACATTTTTTCCATTCAGATATATTCTGCCATTGCAGACTTTCCTACATCTCCTTTGGATATGGTGTCTTTATATTCCTTGAGTTTAAGGAAGTAGCTGGTTTCTTCCTTAGGTTTTCTTTCACATCAAAAATGTTATTCATTTTTCTCGGAAAAGGATCAACTTTAGTTAAGAGTTGTTTTGCTACTGAAAACCAGTCTGATATTATAATGTTAGCAAATCTTTTGAATTTTAGTTGCTTCTTAAAGTGTGCATATTGTATCTACATAATGGCTGTCTGTCGGGTTCATCCTCTTATTTCTGATATTAGAAGAGATGTCTTTATATTGACTAATGCATAAAACTGTATAGACAAAGGTGTCGCTGTTTGACACATATCCGAAGGTTATGCTTTGTTGGAGGAAGAACATATTTACTGAAGCCTTATTTAATATGAATAAGGCTATCACTGCCAAAATGCAGCAGCAGAAAAATGCCTACAATTGTACTAAATTTGGCAGCTGCATGATAATATCAAACCACATGTTGAACAAATGAAGTATTAAAAATCATGCAAATGAGTGAGGAAGTCTTGCTCCTCCTTTTTCTTACTTAATTGACTTTGTACCCCTTGATGATCACCTTTTTCTGCTTTCTGCACATTTTTTAAATAACAAAATCTTCACAAGAGCTTTGATTTGAAACTGATAGCCCCTTTTTTTATCGTAAAAGGGATTTATGATTTGCCTTCACACTGACAGAAAATTAAAATAATTATGCTCATTAATATTTTTTTTTATAGAATAAAACTTTAATTCTGTAAAATGTTTAAAAACTTCCAAGTTAATAATACCAACTCACTTACTAAAAAATGACCCAAGTTTAAAATGTTAATGTTATAGAAATACCGGCACATAAGTTAAATACCCACCACCACTATATATATATATATTGTCAAAAGGGGAATCATTTATTTCTGAGAAACTTCTATCTTCTGACACTCATTTTTTGAATTCTGAATTTCATCAAGAACAAATATTTCTTAAAACTGCAAAAGAATAAATTGAAATACTGTATTGGACAATACAGAATGAAACAACCAGACTGGCATGTGAAAATTTTGCGAATGATTAAAAAATAATTTTATGATTCCACTATAATGAAATTTTGTTCCACAGATCATCTAAGATGTAAATTCAGCTATATTTTATTCAAATAATCCAGTGGTATAAAACCCAGTTTTCATGCATTGTGTTGTGGTTGCCTGCAAAGTTTAATATTTCTGAATGAAAAAGTCACTGCACCTTCAGTCATTAAGTTGCTCCTATGGTCAAAATAGGTTAGCAAAATTGGAATAGGTTTTAAATTTTGCTAGTATAAACTAGTAAATTTCATGGCAATTCAGTCATTAATTTAGAAATATGATAATCAACAAGTGAAAGAAGACCAGAAAACAATCTATCATGATGATATTTTTTGAATTAACTCTTTACATATTCAGAAGAATTAAAAGTTCTGACTTTTTTTTTTTTTATAAAATTTATCCATTTTATTTAGTCTTGATTTGAGTTCATTTTTGACATTAATGTATTCCAGAGTGACCCGGAAGATTGCGCATTATCTTGGAGAAGTGTTGGAAGATCACAAGGATAATCTACGAGAAAATCTCAAAGCAGGCGGAGGTAATTCTATTTTCTTGAAATTCAGGATTAAATTCTTTTTTGTTTGATCAGGCTTTTAAATATTTCTTATTCTATCATTCCAGGTAATTACAGTTAAGTTTCTCATTCCTTTAAAAGCTTTTGTTTACTGATTTATTATTCTTCAGTATATTAAAATTGAATTAATCATTTTTTTTTGTCATTCAGCTGATTTTAAGGTAAAAATTCTTTGCTTTGAGTTATTGTCATAGAACCATAACTACAGAGCTGTGTCTATGAAAGAATACCTAAAACAATTGTTAAAAATAAATCTCGATGTATTCAAAGACATTGTCTATCTTTTAAGTATATATTGTTCAATAAGAATGCAAAATTATCAGTCATACATAATCAAGCAATCAACCATCTCTAGTGATTTACAAAAGATTTATGTAGATGCTGATGACTCAGATACAGATTCTTACAAATGAGAAATCATCCAGCAGCTGTCAGTACTTTCTTTTTTCTTTACTATTTCACCCCAAGCAAGGCAGGAATGCCACTAGTACACAGGGGGTTACAGTGAGTGAAAGAAAAGACTGGGCATGGGGGAGGGGGAATTGAGGAAAGGACAAAAGCTGAACATGGTTCAAAAAGATAGAAAATGGCGATTGACATTGCATTTAAATTTTTGAAGATGGTATTTATCCGGGAAGCAAGTAAACAGAAGGGAGTCCAACAGGTGGGAAGTGTGAGAAAAGAAACTTTTGAAGTAGAAGTAGTGGTTACATTTACCTAATTCAACAGTAAAAGGGTAAAAATCTAGTAGCATGCTTAAACACATGTAGTCCAGGCACCAGGGTATAAAGCTTGTCAGGTCAGTAACCATAAAAATATTTGTAGAAAAGACAAAGGGAAGTCACATCACATTGGTGAGAAAGTGACTGAAGTCAAGATGCCAAGTTAGGATTGATTATATTGCAGATCCTTCTTTGGATTTTGTCAAGAACCTCAAGATGAGTAGCTGGAGCACCTGACCAGATATTCAATGCATGAACGAATGGTAGATTTGTAGTAAATGTGCAAGATGGATTCTGACAAGTAAATCCTTCTGGCATGACATAGTGACCTATGCAAATGTATTAGATCCAAATTGGAAATGTCAGAGTATATTTTCATGAGCCTCCTTTGTGATGTTATGTAGAATTTTGAGTGTGATACTAACAAGTCAAACAAAAATGTGCATGTTCCTCTCTAACTGACACTTATCTCTTCCTCCTGTTCTGTTCTTTATGCACACACACACACACACACACACACACACACACACACACACACACCTCTATGAAATAAAAGTTCTAAGTAAAATGAAATATTAACCAGACTTTATCAAATTCACCACTGTTCTCTAAGTTTTGAGGAAGCAGGTATGAAAATAAATTAAAAAGTTGCCCAAAGACATCAATTAAATCTATGAGGATCAGAAAAGTAACTCCCTATTTTATGTATGATGCATTCTTACATTTTGTAAAAATTATAGTTAGATGGGAGAGTTCATCATACATAAAATAGGGAGTTACTTTTTAATCACCCTGTATATATCAGTCATCTTTCTCTCATGTAAACGCATATACACTTGATTATACATAATCACTTACATTTGTGCACATAGTTAATTTTCATGACCCATAATTTATCTAGGGCTTTTATTCTTAAGCTGTCTGATACAAAGCAGTCTTAATAATATGGGGGACAGGTCAAAAATCATTTAAAAGGTTAAAAAGTACAAAATTAATAAATGGGGTTAGTGTTAAAAGTTCTGGTAAAGTTGGAAAATTTACTCAAAAAATAGACATTACCTCCTCTTTTCTTAGGCACCTAAGACTCTAGGAAGAGCTGATTAACTCAGAATCAAATTTGATTAGATATAAAAAAAAAAAAAAAAGAAAGATCTATAAGCAGGTGTATTGGTGTGAAATGTGTGGGCACATATATATTTGTGTACACAAGTCAGATGAGGTTGCTGTTTGTTGTATAAATCTTGAATCTGTACTTCATTTTCTTGATTGTGATTTTTTTTTTTTTTTTTTTTTTTTTAAGGTGAACCAATGTCTTATAAGAACCTGTATATCATGTATGGATAAAATACAACCTACAAGGAGTTTTCAAAATAAAGTTTTTGTGTTCATCACAATAAATTTAGCAATTGATTATTTTTGGGATAACATGATTTTATTCAATCAATATTTCACTGTTTTTGTATCTAATTAATCCTTTTAACTGTCTAGAAAAAGAATAATTTTCTTACTCTCCCTCTCAATATATGTTTTTATTTCACTTACACAGAAAATCCTCTTTATTGGTTTCATTCAGACTAGAGTTGAATCGGATTAAAGTTTGCAACACTGTAGCAGTATGAAAAACCCTTTTGAAATTCCTGTGTCCCTGATGGAAATAGGTGGGTAGGGTATGCAGAGAGCCAGTATTTCCTTCTCTGTTTGAAAAAATTATCTCAGAGTAGGTTGAGAAAATCTGCTTTCATATTTTTATGTTAGATGTCGCTGGGACATAAGGCTGAAAAAGTAATCATCATTTCTGATGCTGCTCTATTATTGTTGAGTTAAAACAAATGTTGAAATTTTACTTATTATAAAACGCAGATTGTGTGTGTGTGTGTGTGTGTGTGTGTGTCTGTAACATTTATATATTGGATCGGATTTTCTACATTTTTCAACCGATTTCAACAAAACTTCACAGGATTACATAAAATTAACTTGTGGTGGTTCTAACAGCCCCAAAAATGGGAAAAATATAATTGTTTTTGCACAAAGTCAATTTGAAAACACGATTAAGAGACATCATGAAAATCGAAGGGGGACAACTCACATCGGGTTGTTTGTGTGTGTGGGTTACTTTAAATATGGGAGCGGATTTCCTATATTTTTCAGCCGATAAAACAAAACTTCACTTTTTTTTTTTTTTTTTTTTTGGCAGGTAGTGTTTCTTATTCTCTTGCACACTTTTTTCTTTATTTTTAACATTCAGAATGCTTTAAAAATTCCATTTACAAGACAATTATTTATAATAAAATTCTATTCAATCAGTAGACTCATAACGATTGAAAACAATGTTTTTGTTTGGGTTTGACCAATTCGTAAAAAATAAAAAAAAAAAAAAAACTAATTAAGACATGCATGTCCGTCAACCTTAAACAATAATCTAACGATCTCTACTGATTGTAATGAATACAAACATCGAATAAATTCTTTATCTTTAGGGAAAGATAATGAAATCTAAACATACACAAGTCCTAACTAAAAATAATAACCGGAACGGGAAACTACTTTAAATACACATGGTGTTCAATTTTTTTACTGTATTCAATAAGTAAAAATCATAAATTGTAAAAGATTATTATTACAGAAAGGCTACTAAATGAATAAGATTTGTTAGATCATAATTAATAAACCCAAATAAAGTTAATATTTTTTTGTATTAGAAACAACGAGTGGAAAATATATTCAAATCAAATTCTAATTATGAATCACCACAAGCAAAATATGCAATTTTTTTACTGTATTCAATAAGTAAAAATCATAAATTGTAAAACTAAAAGATTACAGAAAGGCTACCTACATTTTTCAACAAATTTCAACTTTTTTTTTTTTTTTTTTTTTTTTGGCATGTAGTGTTTCTTATTGTCTTGCACACTTTTTCTTTATTTTTTACATTCAGAATGCTTTAAAAATTCCATTTACAAGACAATTGTTTATAATAAAATTCTATTCAATCAGTAGACTCATAACGATTGAAAACAATGTTTTTGTTTGAGTTTGGGTTTGACCAATTCGTAAAAAAAAAAAAAAAAAAAAAAAACTAATTAAGACATTGCATGTCCGTCAACCTTAAACAATAATCTTTGTCAATTTTATTTTTCAGTCTTTATGATGGTGGATACTTGATCTATCTCTTACTGTTATATCCCCGGGCAACGCCGGGCTCTACTGCTAGTATCTAATAAATATCACCTAACCAGAGGCTAAAGCTAAGCATGTGTATGGCAAAGTAAAAAATCTAAACCTTTTTTACTAAAAAGAAAGAAAACCATTGACACCTGCTTAACATTTATCAAACAATGATGTGCAATCTTTGTTTTTGATTAAAACATGTCACCTTTGGGATGCATTAGTGCCATGTTTTTTCACTCAGTAATTTACTCTTGCAACTTGCATTGTGCCATTGTGCCCTCTTGCCTCCTTCAGGTATCTGACAATCCAGGTAAACTTCTGGGAATTTTGAACTGAACCCTTTATTCTATGGAGGCAGATTGTTCTTGTTCTGCTGGCTATGTCTAGAGATATTTTGTTCTTTCTTTTTAGTCCTGCTCAGTTATTGTTAGTCCTGTTACCACTAAGTTTGTCAGTCTGACTCAGGAATTGAACTCACATATACTATGCCACCAAGTTCATGAACAAATTCTAATGCTTGATAGTCGTCTGAAATGTGAATTGCTTGTTCACAATTAGAATGATGATAGAACAACAGTTGTATTTGCCTGTTTTTGTTTTCCCATTCTTTTTCTGAAAGCTGGGATAATTATCTGGTAGTCTTATGGCTGCTGCAGCTATGATTTGCCATTCCTATGTCTTTCTCACATTTTTGTACATATATTTCCTTTTTTGTAACCTCAGTAGATCTACTTAAATTGTACCCAGCGACTCTGCCAGTGTATCACCAATGATGTATTGGTATGATTTGACCATTAATTTACATTTGCTTGGGTCTCTCTTGTTCTGGAAAGAATATGATCAGATTGCTACTTAACAGAGTTCTGATAACCTACTTCTCAAAAATTTTTCCTATACAAAGACTGAAACAAATCATATGGTCCATTGATTGCTGATTTTTTTTTTTTTTTTTTTTATAGTTCTTGTCCAAAATTACTCTGCTTAAGAAACGCCACCAATCTGATGGATAATTCTTTATGTAAGTGACATTGTCTGAAAGGTTTTTAAAGATCAGGTTTGATTATTGCCAAGAAAATAATTTCTCACCATTTTCACATAACTTGATAAATATAGCAAGTGGGTACATGGCTATACCCATTTATCACCAAGTTAATTAAGTCTGGTTTCTTACGAATCCCTTCAATCAAGAGATTCCTTCATCGTCAGATTAGCTAGATGTTTGCTACAGGTCTAAGATGGGGTTCCATGAGTGGGATTTGGGTCCTCCATGTCTTCATTTTTTTTATCTTTATTCTGCCATGCTGACTAATGCCAGGCATCACTTTATTTCATTCAGTAATGTTCTTTCTGGTTTATATTCTCCACTGATTAGACTTCATTGCTTTCTTTGTTGCAGACAATTCATCTTATTTATTTATTCTAAATAAATGTTATACAATATATTGCAAATTATTTCTACTAAAGTAGACCAATCTTTTGCAACAGTACTTACTCAAACCATTTAGTTACAGTGTTTACACTGATTATTAACTACTTTTTGTTCTTTTTACTTTCAGTTGATTTAGTTACTTATTTGTTCAGGTTTCAGTGGGATCTGGCCAAATACCCCATCAAACAGTCATTACGTAACATTGCTGAAGTCATCTCCAAGGTATATTTGCTTTCTGTTCAATTGGATTTGTCTCAGCTCAGCAGTAATTATTTGTCATTAATTGAGTGGGAATAATTTATAATTTTGGAATGAAAAATTGTTTAGAAAAATCAAAATATTTGAGCTGATGACAAGCATTTATATTTTAATTTCTTCTTTAAAACAATTGAAAAACATAACATTTGATGACAGGTATAACACCAATTCTATTTTGCATGTACCTAGGCTACCTTTGTAATACTCTATTATTAAATGTAAATGCTGTTTGAAGATTTTCAAAGTTGCTAATTTCATCTATGTTCATGGTGATTTTTGAACTATCTGAACATGCAAATCAAATTAGATGCTACTAAGAAGAAAAGTTCTTTTATTACAAGATTATAATAGACAATCAGTTGAATAGAGTAAAAGTGATAGAAGATACCAATCTGTGTGGAAATCAGCTTCTTGCAAGTTAGGAAAGTGACATGTGCTTGAGGAGGAGGTGGTTTTATATTTGCAACATTGTGATGGAGACCAACTTTAATGTCAACTGCAAACAGAATATGCAACTTGGCAGACGATCAGTAACTCTACTGAATGTCAATCTCACATTGGATGCACTTCAGAATGATCTGCTTGAATCAGTTTGGATGTGTTGTATTTATTAAGAGTTAATGCAATTAACCATTGCTCATGTCTTGGAGTTTACATTTTCTCTGCACCTCCCTAATCAGATAAATGAGCTCTTTTTGGTCATAAGGTAGTGAGAAATAGTCATTGACAACTGATCCACATCAGAATTCTTAATTTCTTTTCATCATTGTCACTAAAAAAGAAATTTAACATTTCGTATATTCAAAGGAGTACTAAGAGTAAAATGTTTGTAAGAAGACAATGGGGAACACTAAGAAGAATGGAAATGGTGTAGCTTGAAGTGGAGAAAGAAAATTATTGTTATAATATGGCAAACAAGTTGTAAAGTTGTGAAATGCCAAAATGAAAAGAGATTTTGTAAAAAAACAAAAAACATTGATGAATCTTCTGAAATCAAACATTTCCTTTCTATTTTCATTTGGATGGATACCATAAATAATACCCTAACCCAAGAGAATATTACAGATCTGATAAAGTGAATTAAGATTTTAAGATCTTTTAATAGTAAGGTCATCTACTTCTAATTTGCATAATGATGTGTTTAAATCAATGAATGAGTGTTCTTGTTTGAAAATGAACTCATTTTGTCATTTCTCTATCTTTCCATGTATGCAACTGTTCCTAAAATGTAATCATTGTTTTATTTTACAGCAAGTTACTCAGGTAGAAACTGATTTGAAAACCAAATCTAGTTCCTACAACAGCTTGAAAGGAAACCTTCAAAACCTTGAACGCAAAGCAGCGTATGTACATTCTCTATGTTCTTTCAATCTCTTTCACTGTGAATATTTAGTGGTACTGCTCTACAAATTTACTAAAATATTTTAATGTAAATAAATGTAAAATATAAAATAAATATATAAATGAAAGATGGACATATTACATAATATGAAAGTACTAACAATTTTTATGAGTTAAGCTGAGCTTTGAATATGCCTAAAACTTCTCTATGGTAATAAGGAAATGTGGAAATCTATAATAAATATCTTAAAATATTAACAGGACATCATTTTAGAAAGTAGTCATAGCCTTTATTTTCTTTTGTAAGTTATGTATTTAGGAAAAACCTGTGATCAATAAACTTGTATCAATTCAGTTTAATTTTCTTGTATTCTGTTGTAAATTATCAAAATCTACTATTTATTTATTTTTGTTACTTCTTTATAGAGGCAGTTTATTGACCCGAAACTTGGCAGACATTGTCAAAAAGAATGATTTTGTTCTTGATTCAGAATATCTCACCACTCTTTTGGTGGTGATTCCTAAGTAAGTACTGTTTTGTGTGTGTGTTGTGTTGTTTTTTTTTTTTTTGTTTTTTTATGTCTTTTATCTGAAATGCAAATTTTAGAATATACAAATGAAAAAAAAATTTTGTGTCAGAGTTTCATAAACCTTTTGAGCATGGTTTACAATGTATTCAGAACAAAATATATATAACTAATAAAATTTAACCTATAAACCATTACACACACATACACACACCTGGGTTTTAAGTTTTTACATTTAGTTGTATCAAGAAAAAATTGAATTCAAGTTTATGAAATATTGGGTTGTAGAGAAAGTTTGTTTTCACCATTAGATGGCATTAGAAGCATCTAGTTTTAAAAAAGATTGTATTTTGACAACTGTTGTAGCTGCATTTAAAAATTTCTATCATTGGCCATAGAAGAAAATAAGTAACACTTTTAAAATCTCATTTATTTTCTGTTTTAAAGATAAAAATGCAGCTGAAACATAAGATTTGTGTAGTTTATCAAAGAACTACAAATAATTTATTGCGTCAAAAGTAGTTTGTACTGTCCATTTCTCAGTGGACAATGAAACCAATTGAGGTTAATAGTAAACAAATGAATACATGACTTGAGAATGATCAACATTATATGATACAGGAAATAGCCAAGACAGAACATACAAATCAAGCACTGAAAATCATTTGCAACAACTGGGTTATGTGAGTCACTTGGATGTATGGCTTCCATTTTTTTAAACAAATTTTGATGGGTGATAAAAGTGGATACTTTGCAGGAAAAAAAAGGAATGCAAGAAATTGTGGAGGAGGTGAAATTAGCCACCACTAACTGTATGAAATGTGAAGTTTTCATCTAAGTTGATGCCGTGTATATTGGTAAATAAGTTCTTGGTCTAATGATTGGATAAAAATGCATTTATTTTATCCAATCTTTTAAACAGAATTTCTTTGTGAGAGTACTTAATTCAGCTGTGTATGAAACTGATTAAACATTATACAGTAAAAAATTTCAGATCAAAATTCAGCTAATGACTACATGTCATGCTACATGTCATGTGCTTCTCTACTATAAGCTCCTTCCAGAGGATCAAATGATTGATTCAAACAAACACTGTTTCCCAATTAGACCAACTGGCCTAAAGAGAAACAGCATGGTGGGGAAATTTTCATTCATTCACTATATTCAGCAGGTATTGCACCTTCAGGATACCATTTATTGCAGTTTTTATAGAAAAAACTTTAAAAATGTTTTGGTTCTTAGTTTACTAAAAAATATAATTTGTAGGCGGACGGAATTATGAAGTTTCCTGAAAGTTGTAGAAGATAGTCAAACAAAATGGTAAATAAAGTTTGTTAAAAATAATTTATCTTTATCTGATAAATATTTTGTTACCTAATAAAAGTAAAACTAGTTGAATAAAGTTTTCAGTACTTACTGGAATATTGTTTATATTAACTATTAGTTTGAATAACTTGGATTAACTTTGTATAATTTTCAGGATAGATTCTGTATACATATGAGTCAATAAAGTGATTCTTTATATTTCACATGCTATTTATATAAAGCACACTTGAAGAGGAGACAATCTGTACAGATTTGTTTGATTAATCAGCTCAGATCAGGTGATGAGGCACACATTTTGCAAGAGTCTGCTGCACACTTGATCAGGCATATCATAAAAGGCTTAAATTTACTTCAGTTTATCAGAAATAAACTATTTTTATAACGTATATTTTGCCAAACTACAATTATAAAGTTGATTTCCATAAGATTTATTATTAGTAATAAGAGTAGTTGCAATATATCAGGTAATGCATTTTTTTGTCTTTGTAATGATTTTTAAAAATAATTGAAAGAAAAAAAAATATATATACACACACACACCATAATAGTGACTACAGAATGATGTTTGGGAGCAGAAATGGTTGAATAATACAATGCAGCAGGAAGTGTGTTACTCCTGTGAGTAATTGTTAGTGATTTCAGACCTCACAATATATCCAGATATAATGGCAAAACCTGTACAAGACATGTCATTCAGTGATGGCAGATTAAAACACTTAGCTAAATTAAATACTATAATCATAAGTGAAAACATTGTAGTTTCATTCTTTTATTAGTCTTTCAATATGTAGCTTTGTATGTATATATTAAAGCTTCAAAGAAAATTTGGTCACAATTAGTTAAAAAAAATCTCTGAATCAAGATAATTAATTTTTAGAATAAAGTAATTAGTGGAACCTGGTTAGAATTTAGACTAATCACAAAATATTCTTCAATTTCAGATACTAAATTTGCTATATAACATAATGATCCATTAACTGATTGGAATTAGAATATTTACAGTTTTGAACAAGAAATTTGCACATTAACATTGAAAGCAAAATGATGGATTTTAGTTCTTATTGCAAGTGTATTTTATCACAGATTACTAAGTTGTAATTGATTATTTCAGGAATCACGCTAATGAATGGAAGGCAAAATATGAAACTCTGACTGATATGGTTGTTCCTCGCTCAAGCAGGTAAGTTGAACATTGACATAAGTTCAGATTTTTAGGATATGAACTTAGTCATTTTCAGTTCATTTATTTTTAGATTGAAAATGAAACACATCATGAATATGTTTCAATTTACTCAAGATTAAATGTACAAGTAATAAACATAGTTTACTGAAAATTATCATATCAGGTTCCAGAGATGATAATTGCAATAAGGAGACAACCTTGTTTGAAGTTTTATAGGTGCATGAAAGTTGCAATCAGTGGCTTCCAGCAGTGAAAGGGTTAAGCTAACAGATGAAAAAAATGTTAATTAAAGCATGGATCATTGGTAGGTTAAAATAATGGTTTGAAAATATTAATTAAAACCATTTACATTATTTGGACTATTGTCCTCATTTTTGTCACTATGTTTATTACAACATTTCAGCCGTTGTACACTCCAGCCTTCTTCAGGTGGTTGGAATGTCAAACTGAACCCTTTATTTCACTCACTGGGGTAGACTGTTCTAGTTCCAAGTGCCATGTTTAATGGATGTCAGTTATCTCCTGTTAATTCCCCTCTCCAAGTTCTCCACTGCCTTAACTGAGTATTGAATTCATACTCTTTGGATCCTGTCACTGGATCTAACCAACGCCTTTATCTACTGTGCCATCTTGCATATCTGAATTCTATGTGACATGAGTTTTATTTTGTGAACAAAGTTCTGTCTAGTAGTAAAACATTTTTCTATAACAACTTGTTGATTTTGGCATCTTATAAATTAACAATATATATTAATAAATATATATATATATATATATATATATATATATATATAATTATCTATGCTGATAAACTATTTTCAGCTTCATTTTACCTTTGTTCCAAATAGTTTAGATGCCATGAGCCCTTAAAATGGTCTTTTGGGTAGTCTGTGAAATTTTTAAATGAACAAAGAAACTAAAGAAAGGACATGAAAATAATGATTCCACTAGATTATTTTAATTTTAAATACATAAAAAAAAATAGTGAAAATGCATCACAATTTGTTCATGTTAAGAAATTTTATTGATGCTCAAAAATATAGACAAATCAGGTAAAGGTAAGCTAAAAAAATAACATTAAGGATAGTTTTAAAGGAAATAAACAAATATTTAGTCAATATTTTCAGTGATAAGACTGTATTTCACTTAATGATAATTTTCAGCACATGAGAATAACAATTAATACAGTGAATCATGTATAAGAAAAGCTCAACTTATCCCACAAGTCTTTCTAACAGTTGAACAAAGTTTCTTTCCAGGTATCAGGCCAGGTATTTTAGCAGATCCTAACTTGACAAAATGGAAGGTACCTACAAAAATGGATCTAAGATAAACTGAAAAATTAATTTTCTCATATACTGTTTCATTTTATATTTAACATGAAAAAATTCTTATCAAATAAACAGTGTTACACAAAATGCATCAACTAAAATTCTATACGAAATTAAAGAAAAAGATTATAAAATACCACTTATTGTCACCAAGTTTCAAGTCCATGCATGCAATATCATTGGAGTCTATAAATTTCAGAAGTTTGTTGAAAGCCTTATTTAGCAATATGCAAAAAAATGCAGTGAAATTCCAAGATGCTCTGATTTTAAAACTGTTAAAGATACAGATAAAATATTTTGGAAATTTAGTCAAGGAATACCTGCAAACTTTTCCAGATTTTTCTGATGATGGTCACTTGTGATTTGGTTGATTTGAAATGGAATGCACACACACACACACACATATATATATATATATATATATATATATATATATATATATATATACCCACCTCTCAAAGAATACAATCCCAGGTTGTAAATACTCTCGCTATGTGAAATCACCTAAAATTTTACATTTGATTTTCCTTACTTTTTATTAACTCTTCTGTCTATTTGCCAAGAAGTAAAATTCCTGGCATTGTTCATCATTTCTGATGAATGAATTCACTGTTTGATTGCCAGTAAAGCAGTAACAGAAAAATCTCAGCCTCACGATTTGTTAGGTACACAACAAACCCACTAGATCCTTACGATGTTAGATGGTGATGGCAAGGGAGTAGAGAAATAACCATTACACCAGTATCCAGAATCACCTCACTACCATGCATCTGTTTGTGTATAGCATTGTGATGTTAGGATTGGGATCCTGAGGAACCTCACCTGACCATTCCTATCCAAACAAAACAACATTCAGTCTTTGGTGGGTAATGGTTTTAGTAATGTTCCAAAACCTCTCAGATCTATCTATTGACCTTTCTTGTTTATCTGCTATGACTACAACTACCTGGCCTATTTCTCTACTTGTATTCAGTGTGTGCTGCATTGTATCCTGTAAGGATGTATTCTGTTGACCCTTATTCTCTACATAAGTTAGACCTGGAATAGCATTGAACTGCATATTTTGAGGTTGGCTGGTGGGAGTAGCAGAAACTAACATTTAACTTTATAACAACAGTTGACTACTAATTCCATCGTTTTCATTCCCTGCCTAACTTTGGTGATTGTTTCTTTGTTTCTTTATTATTTCCATTTCTAAAATGATCACCCATCAAATTATTTATTGAAAATTCTGCCAAACTTTTATCTTATTGTATTGTCCTTCATATTGCATGTCAATTCCATCAACATATGTAAATTAATGATTATCAAATGCAGTCCATCCTGATACTAATGTTCAAATATTGTCATTTAATGAAATATCCCAAATTAAAAGAAAAATCTCAAATACATTTACTTCATTTTCTAACACTGATCCATAAATATTTTCAGCTTAATGAGGTCACTTGTATTTCTGACAACCCAGAATACTTGAAATTAAAAATTTCCAAACTAATGTATTTATGTAAACTGTTGTTCAATATCAATTTCATCATTTTTCAGGCAGAATTCTAAAAAATATTTCATTTTCCACATTGCACAAATGTGATATTACACATTGAGCAAATCTAGAAATTTGGAGAATTCTCTCTGCTCGGCTCTAATTTGCAATCTTTTTGGTATGTGTTTTCCACAAATGTTTTCAGATGAACTATCTTTTGTAGAACTTGTCAGATAATTCATTGAGTGATAATTCTTTTTCCAGAATCCTCTATGATGATCCTGAAGGAGATAGTGTGTTATGGTCTGTCACACTTTTTAAGAGAGTTGTGGATGAATTTAAACACCATTGCAGAGAACACAAGTAAGTTTTTAATATTTTTATTTTAAAATGTGCAAAGAATATTCTTATTTTAATTAGCAGATAAAAGAGCATTTACTTACAATTAGCAATGATCTTATATTGTAATGTAAAATAGGGCCTAATCAATTCTGAATTGGTTAAACAATTGCAGGGCCTTTTTTCAGACAAGCAATATGGCTTTCGTTTCTCCAGGTCAACAGATGATGTACTGATGATAATTGCAGAAAGTGTCTATCCAGCTTTAGATGAAAATGGTGAAGCTTGGTCTGCAGCTTTGGAGATCTTGAAAGCTTTTGACAGGGTTTGGCATACAGGTCTTCTTCATATTTGTCTTTGGACAAATTTTTGAACTGATCCAGTCTTGTGAAATAAAAGTTATCCTCCACAATGACTGTTCCAGATCCTTTCATACTAATACAGGTGTCCCGAAGACTCTATCTTTGGTCCCACTTTGTTTTTAATTTTCATTAATGCTCTCCACTTGGTATCTATACTGATGACACAATAATTTACTCCTGCCAGCTGATGTCACAAACAACCGTTTTAGTTAGGGATAAAAAATGTTTTGTTAATTTTAACACCTCCAAAACTAAACTGCTCTCTATTGATAATCTAAGAGACCCTTCTATGCCTTCCATCAGCATAATTGATGCTAACTTCCGGAAGAGTGACTTGTTGCATGTTCTCAGCTGACATGAAGTGGAAAGACTATATTGAATCCATTACTAGGTTAGCTGCTAAGAAAGTTGGTTCATTGTGTCATGCTAGACATTTTTTTTCTCTCCATAATGTATCTTACATATCTATAAGTTTACTATTTGCCTATACTTAGAATATTGCTATGACATATGGTCCAGTGCTCCTGTTAGATATCTAGAGATCCTTGATAAAAAATCCAAAGAATCAGCAATATTATTGGTCCTGATCTTGCATCTTGGCTTCAGTCACTTTCCCACTGCTGTAAAGTTGCCTCCCTGTGCCTTTTCTATAAATACTTTCATGGTAATTGCTTGGATGAGCTCTTCCCTATGGTACCTAGACTTTATGAATTTAAGCACAGTACTAGACTGGCACTAAGGTCTCATCAATTTACAGTTGAGTTGGCTAGATGAAACCGCACATTCTATGCTAACAGTTTCTTTTCCCACACTTCTCAGTTGTGGAACTCTCTTTTGGCTCCATGGTTTCCAGCCAACTTTAATCTGCAAAAATTTAGATGCAATGTCAGTCATTACCTACTGTCCTCCTGATTACTCTTCTTCTGTACTTGCCCCTTAGTAATGGTTTCTGCTTTCTAATTCTTCCACACTCGGTAACTCCTTGTGTCTTAGTGGCTTTACTACCTTGCTTGGGTTGATACTGATTAAAAAAAAAATTTAAAACAAAAAACATTTTTTTTTCTGTTTTAATTTAACATTTACAAAAAAGAAATAGACAGTCTTTATTAGTTTCGAATAAAAAAATCCTATATTTGTAACCTGTACCTGTGTTTTCTGGTTCATATTTTTAATTTCCTTAAATAATTTTTATATCTCAAAATTTAATTTTGTTTTGTAGAAAATTTTATCACTTAAAGAAATAATTTCTGTTCTATAATTTTACATTCAATGAGAAGAAAATGATTGAAGATGCAAAAATGAAAAATCAAAAGAGTAAGAATTTTGACAATTTGAAAAATTTGTAAGATTTTTTTTTTTTTTTTTTTCTTTTTTTGTCTTTAAAACCCCATATTTAAAATTTGTTATTAATTTTTATTACTAAAAGGCACTTTTGTTTTTTATTATGATATTTATCTGAGATTTCACATATATAAAAAAAATAAAACTTCATTAAAAATCTGAAAGTGTTTTTTCATCTGCTTTTCAGGTTTAAATATAAATAAAAATATATTTAAATTGCAGAAATTGATCCATAAATACATATTGTAAAAGTTAATTCCAAAATAAATGGTGATACTTTATTCAGATCTCTATAAGAATGTATATCCTCTTTGGGAATATATTTTTTCCATATTTTTGCAGTTTAAAATATATAATTCAATGCATTTTTCATACCTTTGCAATATTTACCTTTTACAAAAGCCAATATAAAGAACATATATTATTTTCCCACCATCTAAAATTTGAATAAAACTCAATCTTGGCTGTTATTTGTTCTTAAAAAGTACATTTTTTGAAAAAATTATATTCCAAAAATTTAGGAGAATATTAATATCTAAATAGCATAAAAAGTTTTTGATTATTCTTAAACTTAGGAGTTCTTGATATTTTAACCAATTTTCTTTTTGTATGTTATTTTTTTTTCAGAAAATAGTAGGAAAAAATACACATAAAATATGATCCAATCATGATAAACAAATACCATAAAAGATGAGCTAACAGATTATGGGATGTGAAAAATTTTTAAACATTAAATTATTAAATAAATTTAAAGATAAATTGCATATATTTATATAATTCACTACACTGCATTGAACTTTTTTATAAGCAAAAATATCTTGGATGTTTTTTTTAATTAAAAAAAAAATGAAGGGACTATGTCAAATTTTTGATAAATAGATGCACACTGGTTTTGACATGCCATTATGTATTTTGAAATAAATTGAAAATTGTTTAAAGACAAATTTACATTTGTGATAAAAATGTATACTTATTATTTTGAAAAAATTTTTTTAGAAAAAATGAAACTACATGCACATCATGAAAGGAGGCATCCCTACTTTATTATTTCAATAAATATTTTCTCTCTAAAGCAGACTATTGCTGTTTGGGTTTTTCAATGACCTTCACCATCAATCTGTGTATATAAACAAACACTTGAATAAGGACTGCTCTTTCAACTTTTATGTATGTGAAAATAATAAACATTCATAAATACATTATAACAATATTATTAACATCTATTCTAATTTCAATGTTATATTGACAAATATTATGGCTTATTCAGATTAAGCTGTTTTCAAGCCAAGAATTGAATAAAAAGCTAAATTTCAAATTCATTTTGATAAAGTAGAGACTTAAAACATAATAAAATTTTAAAAATGAATAATAATAATATAAATTTAACAAAATGGGGTTTTTTAAAAAAATTTAATTTATCCCTCTCCAAAAAGGATAAAAATTCACATAAAATTGAGACATCCATAAAACTCAATTTGAACTTTTTTTTAAATTGTTTTTAATTTCAATAAAATATATGAAATAACTTTTATGCTATGAATGATCTCAATAAGCAGAATTCTTTGCAAGTTTCATTTACTTATTGTTTGTGGGTGGGGCTATGACCTACACCTTTGGGAAAAATTATGATAGTGCTGCCCTTGCAGGTGGAACTGAGTTTATAGTAAATAACTTCTTTTTTTTTTAAACTGTTTAAAGGGAATGTCTACCTCCTTAAGTCATTATTAGTAAGTAAATTAAATTAAGTCTTGTCGGTGGAATCAATATATGAGACAGGATCCTCCTGGTGGTTGAGCAGGTTGTAACCCAGGTGTAAAGCGGTCACAATCCTGTAACACACCACTTTGGCCCTTACCTGGGCTAGACAGGCGGTCGGAAGGGCCCGATCCGATCAATTGGCTGGTCATGTCAAGCCCCCATCATATATAATCCACCCCAAACCTATAACTGACACTCCTCTTCCCAACCAAAACTAACATTTAACCCTAAATATGTGATGGAAGGCGGTGACTGAGGGTCAATCAATTTGGGAGAAAAAAAGGATCTGACACACTTGCTAAACCTTCACAGCCGTAATACTTGGAAAACGGAAACAAAGGAACATGCATGCTCAAAGACTCCTCCCAAAGAGAGTATATCATTCACGTAGCCCCGACATGGCAAGGCGAATGGGTTTCCCCCCCTTGTCATGTCCCAATACTGACTCCGGTGGGTAGGGAGCGAGAATGATGAACAAAAAATAAAAACAATCAATGGAAAAAAGAAATCTTCCAAGAGACCACATGTGGATAACGACTTTTGAAACAGAAAATGATAGTGAAAAACTTTCCACGATTTATTGTACTTGAAGCAATAAGCAAAAAGCATTAACAGAAATTTCTCCATTTAAAATACAAAAAGCAATATCAAATATCATTATACCAAAAATGTAAAAAATTACAAAATGGAACATTACTAGTGAAGTGGAAAAAAATATATATGCGGACACATTAATAAGACAAAAAAAACTACAAGAAATAGAAATAAAATCCTACCCACACCAAACCCTAAATTTCTCAAAGGGTGTAGTAAAAAAGCAAGGAGCTCTCCCTGTGCACTCTAGAGGAGATAAAAATAGAACTTGAAACTCAAGGAGTTACAAATGTCAAAAGAATAACAATAAAGAAAAATGAAGCAGAGATACAAACTAATACCTACATTCTAACTTTCAACTCCCCCCAAATTCCAACAACAATTAAAATTGGATATGAAAATTATAAAAGGAACAATACGTACCAAACCCTCTTCAATGCTATAGATGCCACAAATTTGGGCATCACAGAGATTCCTGTAGAAATAAAAAAATATGTGGAAAATGTAGTGAGAAAGAACCAGAACATAAAGAAGAGAACTGTCCAAATGAGAGCCTATGCTCAAACTGTTTGGGAAACCACTCTGCCCTCTCAAAACAATGCAGTATCTATAAACAGGAAAAAGAAATAATAATAATAAAATACAAAAAAAAATATCTTTCATCAGAAGCACAAAAGAAGTTAAAAATAACATAAAAGAAAACACCTATGCTTCCATGGTTTTAAAAGCAAATAAAATAAACAATGAAGATAAAATAAACAGTTCAATTGAAATAACAAATTTATGTAAGAAATTAAAAGCTTTCCTTGAAGAATTAAAAAACCTTTTTAATCAAACTTAAATCGGATCAAAATAAAACTCAACAACCCAAATCAAATGGAATTAACCCAGAAGGCAAAAAACTTTGGAAAGAAAACATAGAACAAAACTCCAGTGAACCCTCTTCTTCCCAAACCCAAACCAAGAAAATGAAAAATAAACAAAAAGAAAAAAAGTGACAACAGAGCAAGAAAGCACTCGATCAAGATCTAACTCAAAATCAAGAATCAATATATTAAATGAAAATAAATTTGAGCCTATGGAATATATGGAAATAGAAGAGAAAGAAAATAAACAAAAATTCCAAAACAAAACCAAAAATCTGACCAAGGACACCACAAGCAGTTGAAGACAAAGCTTCTAAAAACTCAAGAGATGGAAAAAAACTGGAGAGGACAAATGATATAAACCTAGTAGGTAACTTTACCCCCAAAAAATGAAAATATAACCATGGCACATAAGATCCTGCAATGGAACTGTCGGGAATAAAATCTAATTACAATGACCTACTCATACTTATGTCACTACTGTATCCAGCTGTCATCTGCTTACAGGAAACTTTTTTACAAGAAAATGCCAACTTAAAAATTATAAAAAAATATCAAAACCAAATACAGGACAAAAAAGGAATGTCAATATTGATTAGAAATGACATAATGCAAAGTAAAAATACACATTAAAACTAAATTACAGGCAATAGCAACACAAAAAACATTAGATAAAACCATCAAATTCTTTCCAAAACCAAAACCAATAAATACAACAGAAATGATGAGCAAAAACCTAGAATCTTACTAGAAAAAGTCAAATCCTATCCCTAAATAATACATCTTAAAAATCCCTCCAATGGAACAAATCGTCAATAGACTTAAGTATATGCAACCAGAAATTTGTAAAAAAAAAACACATGTGGCATGATCACTACCCATCATTCTAGAAAATCCAACCTGCCAAGGAAGAAAAGATTCAGATGGAAACTGAAAAGAGCCAACAGGGTTTCAAAAACAAATGAAACAATTACTGATACAGTCAAAATACACAGACAGAATACTTTACTAAAACATTAATAACCATTGCCTCAGAAAATATACCAAAAAAGCAAAATAATTATAAAAAACTAAACCCTGGTTTGACAAAAAACTGCCAAAAAGCAGTCACAAAGCAGCATTAAAAAAAAAAGAACAACCCAAAATTTGATTGAAATGAAAAAACTAAAGCAATAACCAAAATTGTTAAAAAAAAGGAAATGTTGGAAAAAATATGTAAACAGCCTAAATACACATAAAAACCAAGACAATATGGGAAATGATGAGAAAAAATAGCAGAAAAAATCAAATATACCCAATAATACATCTTAAAAAGAACAACAAAAGCAACTAGCAAAAAAAGAAAGCCCTACTAGCAAGAATTTGCAAAAACAAAATGATAAAATAAAACCTAAAAAGTGTAAACAAAAGATATAAATAACCAACTAAATTTTTTCATCTAAAAATACAGAAGCCTACAACAATCTATTCACCAAAGCAGAACTAATAGAAGCCATAAAAAAATCCCACAATACAGCAGTAGGCCCAGACCAAATCCATTATGAATTTATTAAACAACTACCACAAGAATCGCTGAAATACCTCTTAAATATTTTTAACAATATTTGGACAGCTGGGAATTTCCCAAAATATGGAGAGAATCAATAATTATTCCCATACTCAAAGAAGGAAAAGAGGGAAACAATCCACAAAGTTACCGACCAATAGCATTAACAAGCTGTCTATGTAAGACAATGGAGCAAATGGTCAATGCCAGATTGAGTTGGTTTCTAGAAGAAGGAAAACACATATCAAAATATCATTGTGGATATAATAAAGGAAGAAGCACAATAGATCACATAATAAGACTAGAAACAGCCATAAGAGAGGCCATTTAAACAAACAACATCTAATAGCCATATTCTTTGATATAGAAAAAGCATTTGATCAAACCTGAAACATGGTATAATGAAAGATCTGCATAAACTAGGATTAAGAGGTCGACTATAAAAGGATTTTAACAGATAGACTCTTCCAAGTACAAATAGATGCTACACGTTCTGATTATCAAAAGCAAGAAGAAGGAGTACCACAGGGAAGTGTACTCTCCCCACACTTTTCAAAAATAAAAATAAATGACATAATAAAAAATCATCAAATCAGGAATACACTGTAGCCTTTATGTTGATGATTTTACAATATATTACAGATCGAGAAACCTCAACACAGCAGAAAGACAACTTCAACAATGTTTACATCAAATAAACAAATGGACACTCGAAAACAGTTTTAAAATATCAAAAAACAAAAACAAAATCTGTACACTTCTGCCAAATGAAAAAATTACACAAACCCAACTCTAAAACTAGGAAATGAAGAAATACCAGTAGTTCAGCAATATAAATTTCTAGGAATGATCTTTGATAGCAAACTGACCTTTAGACCACATATCAATTACCTAAAAACAAAATGTTTTAAAGCTCTCCAACTACTGCGAACAGTAGCCCATACAGAATGGGGAGCTAGCAAAGAAACCCTTCTTAAACTTTATAGAACGTTGATCCGCTCCAAACTGGACTATGGTAGCATGGTCAATCAACTAGAAAGTCTTATCTAAAACAATAAACACAATACACCATGAAGGCCTTGGATAGCTCTAGGGAGCCTATCCCACCTCACCTATAGAGAGTTTACATGTAGAGGCAAATGAACCCCCATTACAACTAAGAAAGGAAAACTAGCAACTCAATACTATCTAAAACTCTCTTCCTGTCCTTCTAACCCCACACACGATTGTGTACTTACACCAAATCACAAAGAGAAATTTAATCTTAACACAAATAAAATCAAAACATTGGGACTCCGAATGGAAGGAATCATCCAAGAAAATAATATACAGTCGAATCAAATACTTAAAACCAACCAATCAAACATACCACCATGGATAATCAAAAATCCAAACATAATATTAAGTTTAAACAAATTATCAAAATCAAAAACACACCCCACAACATACATTGAAAAATTTTCAAAAATAAAAGAAAAGTATCAAAAATACGAAAGTATTTACATGGACGGCTCAAAAGACGAAGAAAAAACGAGCAGCACAGTAATAACAAAAAAAACAATTATCAAAAAATGCTTGCCAAATGAAGCATCAATTTTCAGTGCAGAAGCCTACGCAATAAAACTAGCACTAAATTTCATATCAAAAAACAAAGGAGAAAACTATATTATTTTCTCAGATTCATTATCTGTATTAACACTTCTAAAAGGGAAAAGACTGGAAAATCCATTAATACAAAGTCTTCTATATAAACTACATTCAATGGAAAAAAGCAAAAATATCATCTTCTGCTGGATTCCTAGCCATGCCGGCATCCAAGGAGGAGATAAGGCAGATACTGCTGCTAAATTATCTTTAAAAATGATAATAGATGAAAATCTTCAAATTCCATATACAGACTTAAAATCTAAAATAAATAAATACATAAAAACAAATGGCAAAATTCATGGAAAAAACAAACTGAAATAAACTATTTCAAATTAAACCTAAAATAGGAAAATGGGGAAATAATCTTGGAAATACTCGAAAAAACAAGTCATCATAACCAGAACACATATAGGCCACACATATTTAACCCATTCTTATATATTAAAAAAGACAAATCCACCAAAATGTAGATGTGGAAGCCTAATCACAATAAAACATATTCTATTGGAATGCAAAATCATAACTAAAATAAGACAAAAATATCTCAATGGAAAAGGTTTAAAAAAATTTTCAAAAATACAGACAGATAAAATATACAATTTTCTCAAGGAAATAAAGATCCTCAATAAAATATAACCCTTTCAAATAGTGTATGTGTATATGTGTTTATAGACATATATATGCATGTATGGATGTAAATATTAAAATATACAATCAGAAACAATCCAAGAAAAAGCAATCCCAAAAATACAGAAGATTATGAAACAGTTTTCAACTTTTATATACAAAATAACCATCTTAAATTCATAAATTAATAAGGCTTCGCATAAATTGACCCAAATAGGAGTTGACATGCTGCTAAATCCAACATCCATCCATCCAGTGGTTCCCAAACTTTTTCTTTGGGTGGATTCTTGAATAAAATTGTTGCACCTCTACCAAATTTTATGTGATAAAAGTATTTAAAATAAAAAATAATGAGGGTTAAAGAGATAACCACAGATTTGAAGTCTGAACATATCTGATAACTCTCTTCCAATTTGCAGAGCTGAGTTTACTATATTCATTATTTCTGATATGATGCAAAAAAATAATATCACAATCTTTAGATTTTCTGTCCGAGATTTTACATACAATGAGGAAGAGTTGATTGCAGGCAAAAATGAATTGTCAAAACTTGAAGCAGACAAGAAGAAACAATTTGTAAGATTTTGTTTTCTTTTTTTCTTTTTCTTTTTTTTGTCTTCCAAATAAAACCCCAGCCAGAATTTAAAATCAGTTATTAATTTTTACACTAAAAGTAACTTTTGTTTTTGTTGATATTTTCAATTTTATTTCTTTCTGTGATAAAATAGCACAAACTTCATTAAAAACTGAAAGTATTTCTTTCATCTGCTTTTCAGGTTGTCAAGTATAAATAAAATCTATTTAAATCTAAGAAAGAAATTGATCCATAAAACTATATTGCTATAAAGTTAATGACCATCAGTTGATACTTTATAAAAGTATCTATAAGAATGCATGCCAAAATTAACATATTTTTCCCATATTTTAGCAGTTTAATTCTATATATTTCAATCCTTTACATACTTTCAATAAATCTTTTACAAAATAATATATCAAACATATATTATTTTCTCTAAAATTAAAATTTGAATAAATCAGCCCAGGCTGTTATTGTATTAAAAAGTACATTTTTTGAAAAGATTATATTGTAAAAATCAGGTAAGTTTTTAATATCTAAATAGCATAAAAAGTTTTGATTATTCTTAAATATTACCATTACAAATATTTTAACCAATTTTCTTTAATGTATGTTATTTCTTTTTATCAGAAAATAGTAGGAAAAAACTACAGATAAAAATCTGATCCAATCATGATAATTTTATCCATAAAAGATGAGCTCCCAGATTATGGGATGTGAGTTTTTTTATGAAGCTACATTGTTTGGTTTAAAGAGTAAATTGCAGTGTTCACAACCAACCAGGGAAACAGGAAATTTTTAGATAATTCAAAAATAGTCACTTGTTTTCTTTAAAAAAAAAAAAAAATCCAGGAATTATCTGGAAATTTTGGTTTCATATCAGAGAAAGTCATTTTCTAATGAAATTTGACATGCATTTAATAACATTTATTATATGCATTTCTTTTTTGGATTAGATTTTTAGATTGAAAATTGTTTAAAGATAAATTCTAAACATTATTTGTGATATAAAGTTGTTTTGTAGGATTTGAAAAATTTGAATAAAAATGTCTATTTTTTTTTTTTTTTTTTTTTTTTCTCTAAAGTCTTAATCCTGAATTTACTTCAAGGGTCATGCTAGTGAAAGATGATTGGAGGAAAACCATGTGCTGTTTTTCTCAAAAAAACAGTTGAATAATAATAGTCTTCTCATTATCGAGAATGTTTTAAATGTAATTTGTGTGCGTGTGGTGGCAGGGTGCTATCAGCTGAAGAATAAAAGGCAAAAAGAAAAAGGACTGCTGAATAAGATGTAGAGATGTTCCCTTGCATATTATGAGCATGTTTATATTCTAAATAGTGTATTTCTCTGTCCATTCATCTTTTTAGCTGTGCTAGCTATATACTTATTAATGTCTGTCTGTTTGGTGACATCCTAAAGTCAGGGAATTTCAATGAAATTTTATTCCATGATTAGGCTGAGAACCCTGGATTGACTAAAAAAAAATAAAAGAACAAAACAGATGAAAGAAAAAAATGTCAGATGACGAAGTTGATTTCTTTTTGGAATTTCAGAACAACTTTTACAGTATTAAATATTTGTGTTTGTTTATTTTTTTTACTTTTTCAGGGTCCTCTGGTGAAGTGGCTAAAAATCAATTTTGGTGAATGTTTTGCTGCTTGGATCCATGTGAAAGCATTAAGAGTATTTGTAGAATCAGTTTTAAGGTGGTGTGCCTTTTCGTTTCTTTCCAGACACATTGAATAAGAATCACCACTAATAAAATTACTAACAACTTTTGTCTTGAATTTTCTTTTATTCTAGGATAAAAATTCACATAAAATTGGATACTTAAACAAAGATGCAAATAGTTATTCATAAAACTCAATTTGAACTTTGTTTTAAATTTCTTTTAAATAATTATTTTTAATCTACCAGTTAATAAAATATGATAGTAAATAACTTTTATGCTATGAATGATATTAACATAATGTCAGCTAGTTTATTGAAAGCTCTTTAATTCTTTGCAAGTTTCATTTATTTATTTATTTTTTTCCTTAGGTATGGCCTGCCTGTAAACTTCCAGGCTATCCTGCTTCACCCTCACAAAAAGTCAACTCGTCGTCTAAGGGAGCTGCTTAATCAGCATTACAGTCACTTAGATAGTGCTGCCCTTGCAGGTGGAACTGACGTAAGTAAATTAAATGTTCACTATATACAAATTCTTTTTTTTTTTTAAACTCTGTACACATAAGCACTCCATTATTTTGTAGGCAGCATGTACAAGAGAAATAATTATAACCTCCTTAAGTCATTATTAGTAAGTAAATTATGCAAGGTCTGGTCTAATGTCAAGCCCCATAAGTATGACGCCCGGTCGGTGGGGCATCAGAATACGCCGACTGCCCCCCCTGCAGAGGGTAAAAGTCCCTCAATGGGGCCACCTGTTGGCTGTGGGTGGCGACCCGTAATGTCTGGGGACGGGATCCTGGTGGTTGAGCAGGTTGTAACCCAGGTGTAAGCCACAATCTTGTAACACACCACTTTGGCCCTTACCTTGGCTATGACAGGCGGTCGGAGGGGCCCGATGATGATCAATCGGCTGGTCATGTCAAGCCCCATCATATATAATCCACCCCAAACCTATAACTGACACTCCTCTTCCCAACCAAAACTAACACTTAACCCTAAATATGTGATGGAAGGCGGTGACTGAGAGTCAATCAATTTGGGAGAGAAAAAGGATCTGACACACTTGCTAAACCTTCACAGCCGTAATACTTGGAAAACGGAAACAAAGGAACATGCGTGCTCAAAGACTCCTCCCAAAGAGAACATATCATTCACGTTTGTTTTGCTTTGGCAAGGCGAATGGGTTTCCCCCCTTGTCATGTCCCAATACTGGACTCCAGCGGTGGGTAGGGAGCGAGAATGATGAACAAAAATAAAAAAGTTTCAATGGAAAAAAAGAAATCTTCAAGAGACCACACGTGGATAACGACTGGAAACAGAAAATGATAGTGAAAACTTTCCACGATTTATAGTACTGAAGCAATAAGCAAAAAAGCATTAACAGAGATTTCTCGTTTAAAATACAAAAAGCAATATCAAATATCATTATACCAAAAAAATGAAAAAATTACAAAATGGAACACTACTAGTAGAAGTGGAAAAAAAATATATGCGGACACATTAATAAGACAAAAAAACTACAAGAAATAGAAATGAAATCCTACCCACATCAAACCCTAAATTTCTCAAAATGGAGAGTAAAAAGCAAGGAGCTCTCCCTGTGCACTCTAGAGGAGATAAAAAATAGAACTCCAAACTCAAGGAGTTACAAATGTCAAAAGAATAACAATAAAGAAAAAAATGAAGCAGAGATACAAACTAATACCTACATTATAACTTTCAACTCCCCCAAATTCCAACAACAATTAAAATTGGATATGAAAGTATAAAAGTAGAACAATACGTACCAAACCCTCTTCAATGCTATAGATGCCACAAATTTGGGCATCACAGAGATTCCTGTAGAAATAAAAAAATATGTGGAAAATGTAGTGAGAAAGAACCAGAACATAAAGAAGAGGACTGCCCAAATGAGAGCCTATGCTCAAACTGTTTGGGAAACCACTCTGCCCTCTCAAAACAATGCAGTTTATATATAAACAGGAGAAAGAAATAATTAGAATAAAATACAAAAAAAAATATCTTTCATAGAAGCACAAAAGGAAGTTAAAAATAGCATAAAAGAAAACACCTATGCTTCCATGGCACAAAAAGCAAATAAAATAAACAATGAAGATAAAATAAACAGTTCGATTGAAATAACAAATTTATGCAAGGAATTAAAAGCTTTCCTTGAAGAATTAAAAACCTTTTTAAACGAACTTAAATCGGATCAAAATAAAACTCAACAACCCAGATCAAATGGAATAAACCCAGAAGAAGGCAAACAACTTTGGAAAGAAAACACAGAACAAAACTCCAGTGAACCTCTTCTTCCCAAACCCAAACTAAGAAAATGAAAAATAAACAAAAGACAAAAAGTGACAACAGAGCAAAAAGCACTCGATCAAGATCTAACTCAAAATCAAGAATCAATATATCAAATGAAAATAAATTTGAGCCTATGGAATGTATGGAAATAGAAGAAAAAGAAAGTAAACAAAATTCAAAACAAAACCAAAAATCTGACCGAAGGACACCACAAGCAGTTGAAGACAAAGCTTCTAAAAACTCAAGAGATGGAAAAAAAAACTGGAGGGACAAATGATATAAACCTAGTAGGTAACTTTACCACCAAAAATGAAAATATAACTATGGCACATAAGATCCTGCAATGGAACTGTCGTGGAATAAAATCTAATTACAATGACTTACTCATACTTATATGTCACTACTGTATCCAGCTGTCATCTGCTTACAGGAAACTTTTTACAAGAAAATGCCAACTTAAAATTATAAACAATATCACTATAACCACAATACAGGACATAGAGCTAATGGAGGAATGTCAATATTGATTAGAAATGACATACCATAAAGTAAAAATACACATTAAAACTAAATTACAGGCAATAGCAACACAAGTGACATTAGATAAAACCATCACAATTCTTTCCATTTATATACCCCCACATGAACCAATAAATACAACAGAAATAAACAACTTGATGGAGCAACTTCCTAAACCTAGAATCTTACTAGGAGACTTTAACAGTCATAATCCTATATGGAATAGCAAAAAGCTAGATACTAAAGGTAAAATGTTAGAAGAAATAATTAACACCCATAACTTATGTCTATTAAATCATAAATCCTCAACTTACCTTAATCCCTCCAATGGAACAGAATCGTCAATAGACTTAAGTATATGCGATCCAGAAATTTGTATGGATTATACATGGAAAACACATAGCAACACATGTGGCAGTGATCACTACCCGATCATTCTAGAAAATCTAAAGCCTGCCAAGGAAGAAAAGATAGGCCCCGTCAGATGGAAACTGAAAAGAGCCAACTGCGAGGGTTTCAAAAACAAATGTAAACAATTACTGATACAGTCAAAGGACACAGACAGAATACTTTACCAAAACATTAATAACCATTGCCTCAGAAAATATACCAAAAAAGCAAAATAATTATAAAAAAACTAAACCCTGGTTTGACAAAAACTGCCAAAAAAAGCAGTCAGAAACCAGGAAGCAGCATTACGAAAATTCAAAAAGGAACCCACAACCCAAAATTTGATTGAAATGAAAAACTCAAAGCAGTAGTACGGAAAATTGTTAAAGAAGCCAAAAGGAAATGTTGGAAAAAATATGTAAACAGCCTAAATACACATTCCAAAACCAAGACAATATGGGAAATGATGAGAAAAATAGCTGGAAAAAAATCAAATATACCCAATAATACATCTTAAAAAGAACAACACTAAAGCAACTAGCAAAAAAGAGATAGCAAACCTACTAGCAGAGACATTTGCAGAAAACTCTAAAATGAGCAAAAATCAAAACCTACAAAAGTGTAAACAAAAAAAGATATAAATAACCAACTAAATTTTTCGTCTAAAAATACAGAAGCCTACAACAATCTATTCACGAAGCAGAACTAATAGAAGCCATAAAAAAATCTCATAATACAGCAGTAGGCCCAGACCAAATCCACTATGAATTTATTAAACAACTACCACAAGAATCGCTGAAATACCTTTTGAATATTTTTAACAATATTTGGACTACTGGTAAATTTCCCAAAATATGGAGAAATCAGTAATTATTCCCATACTCAAAGAAGGAAAAGAGGAAACAATCCACAAAGTTACCGACCAATAGCATTAACAAGCTGTCTATGTAAGACAATGGAGAGCCGAATGGTCAACGCCAGATTGAGTTGGTTTCTAGAAGAAGGAAAACACATATCAAAATATCAATGTGGATATAATAAAGGAAGAAGTACAATAGATCACATAATAAGACTAGAAACAGCCATAAGAGAGGCCAATTTAAACAAACAACATCTAATAGCCATATTCTTTGATATAGAAAAAGCATTTGATCAAACCTGGAAACATGGTATAATGAAAGATCTGCATAAACTAGGATTAAGAGGTCGACTACCAAACTTTGTAAAAGGATTTTTAACAGATAGACTCTTCCAAGTACAAATAGATGCTACACGTTCTGATTATCAAAAGCAAGAAGAGGGAGTACCACAGGGAAGTGTACTCTCCCCTACACTTTTCAAAATAAAAATAAATGACATAATAAAAAACATCAAATCAGGAATACACTGTAGCCTTTATGTTGATGATTTTACAATATATTACAGATCGAGAAACCTCAACACAGCAGAAAGACAACTTCAACAATGGTTACATCAAATAAACAAATGGACACTCGAAAACGGTTTTAAAATATCAAAAACAAAAACAAAATCTGTACACTTCTGCCAAATGAAAAAATTACACAACCCAACTCTAAAACTAGGAAATGAAGAAATACCAGTAGTTCAGCAATACAAATTTCTAGGAATGATCTTTGACAGCAAACTGACCTTCAGACCACATATCAATTACCTAAAAACAAAATGTTTTAAAGCTCTCCAACTACTGCGAACAGTAGCCCATACAGAATGGGGAGCTAGCAAAGAAACCCTTCTTAAACTTTGTAGAACGTTGATCCGCTCCAAACTGGACTATGGCAGCATGGTCAACTAGAAAGTCTTATCTAAAACAATAAACACAATACACCATGAAGGCCTTCGGATAGCTCTAGGAGCCTATCCCACCTCACCTATAGAGAGTCTACATGTAGAGGCAAATGAACCCCCATTACAACTAAGAATGGAGAAACTAGCAACTCAATACTATCTAAAACTCTCTTCCTGTCCTTCTAACCCCACACACGATTGTGTACTTACACCAAATCAACAAAGAGAAATTTAATCTTAACACAAAAAAATCAAAACTTTGGGACTCCGAATTGAAGGAATCATCCAAGAAAATAAAATACAGTCTAATCAAATACTTAAAACCAACCAATCAAACATACCACCATGGATAATCAAAAATCCAAACATAATATTAAGTTTAAACAAATTATCAAAATCAAAAACACACCCCACAACATACATTGAAAAATTTTCAAAAATAAAAGAAAAATATAAAAAATACGAAAGTATTTACATGGACGGCTCAAAAGACGAAGAAAAAACAGGCAGCGCAGCAATAACAAAAAAAACAATTATCAAAAAACGCTTGCCAAATGAAGCATCAATTTTCAGTGCAGAAGCTTACGCAATAAAACTAGCACTAAATTTCATATCAAAAAACAAAGGAGAAAACTATATTATTTTCTCAGATTCATTATCTGTATTAACATCCCTAAAAGGGAAAAGACTGGAAAATCCATTAATACAAAGTCTTCTATATAAACTACATTCAATGGAAAAAAGCAAAAATATCATCTTCTGCTGGATTCCTAGCCATGTTGGCATCCAAGGAGGAGATAAGGCAGATACTGCTGCTAAATTATCTTTAAAAATGACAATTGATGAAAATCTTCAAATTCCATATACAGACTTAAAATCTAAAATAAATAAATACATAAGAAACAAATGGCAAAATTCATGGAAAAACCAAACTGGAAATAAACTATTTCAAATTAAACCTAAAATAGGAAAATGGGGAAATAATCTTGGAAATACTCGGAAAAAAACAAGTCGTCATAACCAGAACACATATAGGACACACATATTTAACCCATTCTTATATATTAAAAAAGACAAATCCACCAAAATGTAGATGTGGAAGCCTAATCACAATAAAACATATTCTATTGGAATGCAAAATCATAACTAGAATAAGACAAAAATATCTCAATGGAAAAGATTTAAAAGAAATTTTCAAAAATACAGACACAGAAAAAATATACAGTTTTCTCAAGGAAATAAAGATCCTCAATAAAATATAACCCTTTCAAATAGCGTATATGTATGTGTATATGTGTTTATAAACATATATATGCATGTATGAATGTAAATATTAAAATACGCAATCAAAAACAGTCACAAGAAAAAGCAATCCCAAAAATACAGATTATGAAACCAAACAGCCTTTCAACTTTTTATACAAAATAACCATCTTAAATTCATAAATTAATAAGGCTTCAGCATAAATTGACCCAAATACGAGTTGACATGCCGTTGAATCCAACATCAGTATGTGTGAGAAAAGGCAAAAAATCTCTTCTGACTTTGCTTTTGGCATGCGACAGACATCAGAAAATATCCTTAACCTCTTTAAGTGTGTGTGTGTGTGTGTATATATATATATATATATATATATATATATATATATATATAATCATAACTTGAAACTATATTTTATCACACACAGAAAAACATGACAACCTGCTTAATAAGATGTTTGTCCTTCATATGCCCACAAAAGTTCTTAGCCAATCAAGTCATGGACACTAAAAGACCTAAAAGGTTTACCCTGGGATATGGTACCAGGGTGTTAACAGGTCAACTACTACAATTTATATGGTGGATGTTGTACAGAGTGAATTTGCTGGTTCAACACCTTCCATAAATGATGAATAGGATTGAGAGCTGGTGGGGGTGGCCAGGTCAATACTGTAAAGTTTTCATGTTCCTGAAAACTTTTCACTATAATTTATGCCTGATTGGCAGAGCTGCATTGTCATGATGAAAGTGTACTTGATTTTTAATGATGTTTGAGTAGATGGTATGTGATAAAGTACCTTCTGCATGAATGACAGATTCTAGTGTTTCCCAGCAGAATGTTTGCTCACAGCCATCCTACTGCATCAAATGACAGGTTATTGTTTTCCCATAATGCATTCTGATGCCATAACTTTTGCAGAATAACAGCACATTTGTACACTAACATCCACCTTATTCAGGAGAAAATTCATCAGCAACTTTCTTCCTTGATACAAGGTCCAATTCTGATGCTTGAACGCTTTTTGAAGATACTTTCACTCATCAACATTGGGTACTCTGACTAGCCTGTGTCTATGTGACAAGAATTGATTTATTGTACATTGTGACATATTCTTATCTCCTTGATTAAAGCTCTCTACAATTTGTGCTACACTAGCCCTTTCAAAAGAGTAAATGTCTATTCACCTCTTACACTGATTAATCTTAGACATCCAACACCTTGTCAATGGTTGATTTTTTTTTAACCACCTTGAACTACTCCTGATAGGAAGTTACAGCAACTAAATGGGAGCAATTTAAGCTGTACCATTTTGGAAATGCTCTGACCTAGTCTTCCAACTATAACAATTTGGCTTTTAACAAAGTCTTTCCTCAGTATTCAACAGCTCAAATTAAAGTACTGATTTATCTGACATGTCCAATTGTTATGAGGCAATAGCTATCATTCTTTGCTGTCTTACTGGTATGTTTTGACTAGTGTGTGTGTGTATATATATATATATATATATATATATATATAAAGCAGAAAATAATATTTAATCAAAATGTTTCAAATTATAACTGAAGATTCTTTTTCTCTTGATTTCAACTTAAAAACTCCTTTTCTGTAGAACTGTTCAATGGTCAAAGCTAAGGAGTCATTAAACTGCATTTTAAGTGCTTTTTTATCTTAGCTAGTTGTGTTTATTGTTGATGATGGATAAAAAAAAAACTTGGATTAATCAGTTTGTGATAAGTCCAAGAATTTTATTGCATCAATTGACTCTACATAATTTACTCCACTTCATTTACATTCTATGAGGAATTTACAGAAATACAAAATTGTAATAATATACATAGTTACAGAATGTTGGGAAATGTAACTGCCTAATTTCAATTTATAACATCTTCAAATTTAATTTCTCATCAAAATCACTGTAAAATTAGATTTTAAAATTTTAAACAAAATTAGTTAATTTCTTTTATTAATTATATCATATGTTACACTTTGAAATATTTTATTACTTTTGCTAGCCTTTTTATATTCTCTCACTTTTTTATTTTTAGCATGGTATGGATATTCCTGGTTTAAATATGGGCACCACTGAATATTACCCATACGTCTACTATAAAATTAACCTGGATATGTTGGACAGTACA